GGACTTAGACATTTTTCCACTGTTCCTCATATTACCTGGATAGTAAACTTCTTATTTGAAGCATAACCCTTAGAAAAGATGACAAATCATAATAAGAAGCCCAGTGAATTGCCACAAAATGGACACAGCATGTAAACATCACCCGCCAGATGAGGAATAAGAATTACCAGCCATGTTCCCTTAGGAGACCATGTTCCTGTCAGTCCCTATCCTCACTCGTGTTTTTCTCTGTGGTTCTGTGGACTGAATCCAGGGCCTTCTCACAAAGCTACATCATACCCCGTGTTTCTATTTTTTGTTTTGAGATGGGGTCTTACTGAGTCATAAAAGAAACAATGTGTTTTTTTTTTTTAATCTCATAAATTAGTTTTTCCTGACCGAGGACGTCATGTAAATGGAGTTGTGGTGCAGATACTCTTTGCATTTGGCATTGTTTCTTCAGCATCATGTTTGTAATATTCTTCTGTTTGTTTCAGATAGCTACGTTAATAGCTGTATAATATTTTTCATTTTATGCTGCAGTTTATTTTTTTATTACATTATTAGTAAGCATTTGAGTTGTTACAGATTTTTACTATTACAGATTTTTTTTTGCTGTGCAGTAGTACACATTCCTATTGAGTCGATGTGGGAATGGATTTGTGCCACAAGATGTTAAGAATCTTTGTTTATTTGAGATATAATTAATAAAACATAAACTCACGATTTTAAAGTATGCGGTTTAGTAGTTTTTAGCATAATTACGAAGCTATGCAACTATCATCTCTTAATTCCAGAACATTTTTATCACCCCAAAAGGAAATGCCAGGTTCATTGCCAGTAACTCCCCATTCCTCCCCACTGCTCCCACTGGCAGCCACTAATGTAGCTTCCGTCTCTATGGATTCAACTATCCTGAACAGTTCATAAAAGAGTATGACTTTTTATGTTTAGATTTTTTCACAGGTTATCCATATTATAGCCTGAGCGAGTGCTTAATTGTTTTTTATGGCCAAATATTCCATTGTATGGATAGTCCATATTTTATTTTCCATTCACTAGTTGATGAACATTTTGGTCATTTCCCCTTTTTAGCTGTTACAAATAATGTTGCTTTGAACATTTGTGTACAAGTTTAACTTTTTGAAGAACTCACTTTTCCATAGCATCTGCCCCATTTCATATTCCTCTGGACAGTCAGAGCATTTCAACTTCTCTCCATTTTGTCAACACTTGTTAATGTCTTCTTTATTATAACTAGGCTGGTGGGTGTGGAATATTGTCTCTTTTTTTTTATTTTGTTGTTTGGTGTTTTGTTGTTCTTTCTGTTTTTTGAGACAGTGTCACTATGTAGTTTAGGCTGGCCTTGAATTCACTACGTAGCACAGGCTGGCCTGGAACTTGTAGTGAACCTCCTGTCCCTGCCTCTCAAGTACTAGTATTACAGCCTTATGCCACCAGACCTTGCCTGATTTAGGTTTTTGATCTGCATTTTCCTAGTGACTTATTTTCTTAGCATCAGGGCTGGGGATTTAGCTCAGCGGCACAGCGCCTGCCTGGCAAGCATAAGGTTGTGAGTTCGATTCCTGGTACCAGAAAAAAAAACAAAAAAAAAAAGGGGGGGCGTTGCTGGGGATTTAGCTCAGTGGCATAGCACCTGCCTGGCAAGCAAGCACAAGGTTATGAGTTCGATTCCCCGTACCGGAAAAAAAAAACAAATATATATATATATATATATATATATATATATTTGGTTTTTTTTAGCATCTTTTCCTTTACCCTTTTGTATGTGTATGTTCTTTGGAGAAATGTCTTTGCAGATCATTTACTCAGTTTTGAATAAGGTTGTCTCTGCTCAGGATGTAGCTCAGCAGCACAGTGCCTGCCTGGCAAGCATGAGGCCCTGAGTTTGATTCCCGGTACCAAAAATAATTAGTAGTTGTCTCTTTATTATGGAGTTGTCAGAATTGGTTATATATTTTGGATGGTAGTCCATCATAAGACATATGGTTTCAGGCTGGGCGTGGTGGCACATGCCTGTAATCCCAGCACTTGGGAGGCTGAGGCAGGAGGATCACTGTGAGTTCGAGACCAGCCTGGGCTACAAAGTGAGCTCAAGGCTAACCTGAACTGCACAGTGAGACCCTGTCTCAAAAAGACAAAAAAAAAAGACGTATGGTTTCAAATCCTTTTTCTTATTCTCTCAACTGTCTTCACATTCTTGATAATTTCTTTTGAAGCACAGAAGTGTTTTGTTTTTCTTCTTAATCTTTTTGAGACAGGGTCTCACTATGCAGTTCAGGGTGGCCTTGAGCTCACTTTGTAGCCCAGGCTGGTCTCGAACTTACCGCGATCCTCCTGACTCAGCCTCCTGAGTGCTGCGGTTACAGGCACTCGCCACCACACCCGGCTGAAGCACAAAGGTTTAAATTTTCCCTTTTTTTGTCTTTTTGAGGCAGGGTCTCACTATGCAGTTCAGGCTGGCCTTGAGCTCACTTTGTAGCCCAGGCTGGTCTTGAACTTAACAAGGATCCTCCTGCCTTAGCCTCCCAGGTGCTGGGATTACAGGCATGAGCCACCACGCCCGGCAGAAGTTTAAATTTTCATAAAGCAACTCAGGTTACTCCTCTTCTTCTTCTCCTCCTTCTCCTTCTCTTTTCCTTCCTCTTCGTCTTCTTCCTCTTCCTCTTCTTCCTCTTCCTCTTCTTCTTCTT